TTGCAAGATTACTGTTTTTTTTTCTGTATTTTTGATCAAATAAATGCAGCCTTGATGAGCAGAAGAGACTTCTTTAAAAAACATTACAAGTCTTACTGATCCCAAACTTTTGAACGGCAGTGTAAATATACATTTAAACCAAACTTATTTTATTTCAACTAGTTGCCGAGGCAACATTTCTCATTTTCATTTAGTTTAACTTGATTGACTAAAATAACTAAAGCTAAAACTGAAATAAAATGACTAAAAACTATAGACATATTTACAAAAAACAAAAATGAATAAAAGTGAGAAAAACACACAAAAAAAATATTAAAACTTTTACTACAATTAAAATGAAAACTGAAAATATTAAAATAAAAACAATGATTTAAAAATGAATAAAATCTATATTAGTTATCTCAGTTTTACTAAAATAACACTAGAAGCAGCAAAATCTTACACATAACTTTAAAATGCAGGATGTTCACAAATCAAGTATAAAAAAGCTAATCTGTAGCGCTGTAGTGTTCACATACAGGTCTGAGTTTTCCAGAGCCGGATCCGTCCGGAGTGAGTCTCAGCGGCTGGGAGAAGCCTGGGCTCTCTGGGCTTAAGCTGGAATTGTGATCTAAACCAAATGTAAAACATTCTCAAGTTAAAACCATAGCAGACACAAATCCACAGAGTAACAGCAGGATTCATGACGGTGTCTCACTATGACCGGCGGCTTTCTGCGGGATGGGCAGTTTGTGTTCTCCGTTGACAGACGGTGAGCGGGTCTCGGGGCTCGTGTACGGACTGCAGGGCGGCTGGTCGTACAGCGGCAGAGGAGGAAGTGATGAATGAAGCCTTTGGCACGGGGACACCTGGAGACGACAACACATGTCTCCTTACCAAGTCCTGTGTAAACCTTCTGATCCTCTTCATGTCAGATAATGTTAACAAACACTAGCGTTAAAAAATTTGGGGTCAGTGAAAGAAATGAATATTTTTATTCAGCAAGAACGCATTCAATTGATCAAAAGTGACAGTAAAGACATTTAAAATGTTACAAAATAGTTCTAAATCAAATAAATGCTGTTCTTTTGAACTTTCTATTCATCTAAGTATCCTCAGGAATAATGTATAATGGTTTTCAGCTTAGTTTAAACTGTTTTCAACATTAATAATGTTTCTTGAACAACAAATCAGCATATTAGAATGATTTCTGAAGGATCATGTGACACTGAAGACTGGAGTGATGATGCTGAAAATTCAGCTTTGATCACAGGAATAAATTACATTTTAAATTTACTCAGAAAACTGTTATTTTAAATTGTAATAATATTTCCCAATATTACTGTTTTTATTGCATTTTTTATCAAATAAATCCAGCCTGGGTGAGAATAAAAGCCTTCTTTCCAAAAACATTTAAAAAAATCCTACCAACCTCTAACATATAAACAGTAGTTTACTGTGTTTTATTCAATTATTGAAAACTCAATCATATTGAGGCATTTAATTGTCAAAGAACTTTATTATTATTTTAGGCATAACAAGCAACATAATTTAGCATCATTATACGAAAAACCAGAATTAGTGTTTTAGAGAATCGTGTGATTAAAGTACACATTAAAGTACAGTTTTATTATGACTGTATTTACATGATTAGCTCCATTTTTTTCCCCTTTTTTGATGTGGCCGGATAATGTTGATTACAGGAAGGAAGCAGCCAGGCCTCCGACATCAAACCCACTCACAGTAAGTGTGGACATAGAGACTCAGACTGAGTTCGGGTTGTCTTACCTGTGTGTCTGTTCCCCAGTGAGAGTCTCCGTTCTCTGAGGCAGTCAGGTCCTCCACCAGCACGGACGGAAAGACGCCCACTCGACCGTTAAACTCGCCCTCCCAGAAGCCGTCGTCCTCCTGGTTGTCCTTGTTGAGGATGCGGATGATGGCTCCCTCAGGGAATGACAGCTCGTCATCCGTCTGACCCTCGTAGTCATACATGGCCTTGACAAAACTCACTGGGAGAGACGAAGAAGAAAAGAAAGAGGTTATTAATACAGCTTGGTCAGGTTAGACGGCATACTGTATTTAATGCAGGTAAAAGCGAGGCTGTGAGGGATAGACTTGCAGTCTTTACAATGGCACGCACTGTTTAAAGGTCTGAGATCAAGTCATTTTCACAACTTGCAGCTTTCAAAAGTGTTTTATGAATGAATGAATGAATGATGCATTTATATAGCGCTTTAATGTGTATTGCTGTACACCTAAAGCGCTTTACAATCATATGCTCCATATTTTATGGAGTTTTTGTCTGTGAAAAGTTTGGGGTCTGTAAGATTTAATTAAAATAAGTCTCTTATGCTCAGCAAGGCTACATGTAAAATGTTTACTATATAAAAATATTTCGAAATGTAATTTATTGCTGTGATCAAAGCTGATTACGCCAGTCTTCAGTGTCACATGATCCTTCAGAAATCATTATAATATGCTGATTTGCTGCTCAAGAAACATTTCTGATTATTATCAATGTTAAAAACAGTTGTGCTGCTTCATATTTTTGTGGAAACAGTCATGCATTTTTTTTCTTCAAGGTTCTTTGATGAATAGAAACTTAAAGAACAGCATTTGTTTGGAATTTAAATCTTTTGTAACATTACAAATGCCTTTGCTGTTACTTTTGATCCATTTAATGCATCCATGCTGAATAAAATGGTTTCTTTCAGAAATGTCGAATGATTTTTTTTAGACCTTATTTATTTCTAGGCTGATTCCCTGATATTTTAAAGTTCTCCATGTTTGCAAAAACAAAACAACATGACACATTTTCATGAAAAAAGGTCAGAATGAACATTTAGATGCGTTGCGACTCATGTCATCACTCACACAAACCATCTGCGTGTGTGTGTGTGTGTGTGTGTGTGTGTGTGGTCAGAATGAACATTTAGATGCGTTGCGACTCATGTCATCACTCACACAAACCATCTGCGTGTGTGTGTGTGTGTGTGTGTGTGTGTGTGTGTGACTCACTGCTGCTGTCTCCGTTGAAGCTGCCTGATGCCAGCTCAGGCTCAGTGGAGTTGCTGGAGGAGTGTGAGCGTGCGTCCAGAGCAGCGAGGGACTGGAGCATGCTCAGTACGCTGTTGGACGTGGGGAACTGCAGGTACTTCTCTGGGACGTAGCCCACCTGACCGGACTTATTCCGCGCCTGGAACCAACCATGACAACATTCAGTAGCAGTCACCCAAACACAATCTGCAGACTTGAATCCCATTTTCTTCATTGACTTTGGGAGAAAAAACTCAGCAACTGATCTAAACATGATGAATGGGTTAAACAGTACTAAGAATCAGAATCAGAACAGATCAGAATCGACTGCTAAGAATAATCAAATGATTAAAAATAATAATAGTCAATTGATAATAATCACCAAAATATTTAATAACCAAACATGCAAGGACAAAGACCCACTCTGCAGAAAGTTCCACAGAATTCAAACAACCGGCATTCAAAAAGTTTGCGAATGGAACTTTCGGAACAACACTGGAATTCAAATGGAATCTACAGACTTTAATATCCTTTTCTGCAAAGTAAAGTACGCATGAAATGAAGATTAATTCTACATATTTTTTTAAATGAATGTTACAGATCATATTGTGAACGATTCATCCATGCATACTTTTTTTTTGACCTCAAAATGTCATGGATCTACTGGATCTTCCAGTGAAAGCGCCAGTCTTCTCTCTGGCGATGTATGCTGGACTTATTTCTGAGAGCAACGCTCACATCTCAAAATCCAATCTGCAACGTCACATAGAACCACGATCCTGTCCTACGTTTTTTCTCGGTCTATAATCTGTTACACTGTGATATAAGTCACAACACGAACAAAAAGATGTAGCTACTTTTATTTCACCGCAACTTTAAACAGAACTAAAAGAATAATAATTATTCATAAAATAATAATAATAATAAACTAAACTAAAAAATTACTAATCAAACTCATAAACAGGCTCACATGGAATCTGCAACCATTCAAAATTCAGCAGAAAGTTCCACAGTTTTCCAAAGAATTCAAACAAGTGTCATTCAAAAAGTTTCTGTGTAGAGCTTTGGGAATAACCAGAATTGAATTGGAATTCTGTGTAAATCTCATCTTGAGATGCAAGACACAAAAATCCTTTTCTTCTGTACCTCTTATTGAATTGCAGTCTGATTGAAAGAAACTTCAGCAGGTTGTGTTGAACTGGTTTGATTGGTTTACCTTCACCCAGTCCTCCATGTCTCCATCTTCTATAACCTCCAACATCTCATGCTCATCAATGGTTAGTTCATCGGGCTGAGAGGCCTGAGAGAAAGAGAGAGGTTAACAGATTATTGTGCAATGCAAGGTCAACTGTGCAGGTTCATATTTTTCCAGAAATCTGCTGATATTTTAGCAGTTTCCCAGACACAACCTTTAGAAGCAAGATAATGATGCAGTAAAATGCAGGGGTGTAACAACCATTTTAACTGACTTCAACATAGTTTAGTAGACTATCAATCAAAGTTTTTCATCTAATATTTATATTTGATTTTATTCCACCTTTATTTCTAAAAACAAAAAAGATTTGTACTAGATTTAGTTCCAGTTAACAACCAACAGCACTGGTCGCCACACTTTTCGGGTCGATCCTAAGCTCCAGTGAAGTGTATGAGTCGGTCTGTTTTACCTTGTATGAGTAGAGCACCTTGCAGGTGAGCGGGTAGTTCCTCAGGGTTCCTGACGGACTCGAGCTGCTGTCGTCGTACGTCTCCATGTTCTCTTCTAATTCTTCTCCTTCCTCTCTGTCCAATTCCACCGTGGTCTACAGAAACACCACAATGAGTGTCACTTCACTGACAAACAGCACTTGTTGATTCAGTATCGGTCAATAAGCCTTCAAAAGTCTGGCAGAGGGCTTTCTTTGCGAGCTAACATACAACGGCATGAAACAAACAGACCAATAGACCAACAGACCAGCATTCCATAGGTGTGCACTCTACTCAATGTCCACCCACTCTGATAGGATAATCTCATTGGTCTAGAGAGGATCAGGTGATCATTTTTTCCCAGGAGACAAAACGTGGCAAAAAGAAGAATAAAATCATCAACAAAGGACACAGACATTGGACACTCATACCTTCACAGGTGCTCAATGTGCATCTCACAGAACCGGATTCAACTGGTTACAGTAACGGATGAAAACTGATCCCGAGTCAGTCAGTGAAGGTCAAGAGAACTGAATCATGAGACCAGGTGAGGTCACTGTAATCTGTAACCTGTGATGTGGTGGGCGGAGACTGATCTATAGGCCACGCCCACTGCTGACATTAAATTGCTTGTGATGAGGTAATAAAGATTAGACTGTGATTAGACACTTTGAGGTCACTGTTATCGAAACTCTATAAAGCCTACTGCATCATATTTGATACAGGAATTTCTTAAGGCCTCTAAATTATCAACACACACAAGGTCGTCTGATTAACAGTTTTAAATAAAAATATTATAAGTAGTATTATAAAAATATTATTGGGAGATACGTAGAGTGACAGCTGATATTTATATGCATTTAATGTAAGTAGTCGGTTATATTGTTATAAAATCTCTTTGATTTACATTACAAACTATCAGAATGTCATCCCTTTTTGGCCAAATAAAAATCAGCATCTGTACCAAATTGCACATTTCTGCTCAGTTTTGGCCTCTGAATAAAACTTTATATTCTCACTACATCATACTATATGAGCCATAAAAGCCTGATGATACTCAACAAAGAGCATTTGCATATATATATATATATTTTATTTTTTGCATTTTGTCTAAGAGTTCAGTAAACTGTTCCTTTAATAAAATAAAAAAAAATAAAAAAAATGTTATAACTATTATTGCATATGTCAGGCTTTACAGGCTTGAGGCTTTACCTCCGCACAGATGTGTGTAAACTAACTACAATAACTTTCTCTTTTCATTTCATATATGCTTTTATCATCTCCTCTCATTCTCTCATCCTAAAATATCCTCGTCTGAAAATAAAGCGAGGGACAGAGATCAGCAAAAGCGTGGTTCAGTTTAGTCCAGGTTTACCAAACTCACATCAGTTGCTGCTGTCTCTTCTTGTCTTTACCTTTCTTATGTCTCTCTGTCCGTGTGCTGCAGGGTGCTGTGAGCTGAATATTAAACCACAGACGGAGGTCAATCTTTCTACGCTGTGGGCTAAACTCCACTACATTATTTATATTTCTGCTGTCTTACTTAAAATCACTCAATCTTTACAATGACCTTGATGCACTACGCTACACTCGTGCTTTACGCTATGTGGATGTTTTAGCCTCGCAGTGCTTCACACTTGTGCTTAACCACATTACTGCACTATTCTCATACTTTACTCAAGTACTATGGTGTGCATAGATTTATACTCAAATTTGACCTCCGATTAGTCAACTTGCAGCACACGCTTTTCACTGACGCTCTTCTAGTGCAAGAAATCCTGCACACTATAGATGTGTTGTGCAAAAAGTGACAACTAGCTAGAAAACATTGGCGTTTTACAGCCAGTGAAATATCAAGAGAGCAAAAAGGCTTTAAAAAAGTGTGTCTATTATTTATTAATTTAGCAGATGCATTTATCAAGAAAAAGTGAGAACAAGATTATTATTATAATTATTTTGTAAAACAGGAGCTATTATAGTATGTGCCTTTGTTTATGGTTGTGGATTAGTTAGGTGCTTGCAGAAGAGGTGCACCTTTATTTATTTACTATAAAAAAAAAAAAAGTATAATCTTTAATAATAATAATAAAAAACATTTTTAAATATAACAAATGATAAGCATAATTAATACATAATATAAATGTCTATTTATTTATTATAAATAAGTAAAATTATTTATATTTGTTTTAATACAATAATATAAATATAATAATGATGATAAAATATCCATAATTTTTTAAACATAATACATGACAAATATAATAAGTGGCACTATTCTCCCCAAAACTCATAGCTCACTGTCACATCTTCTAGCATCTCAAAGGGATTGGTCTCACATGTGTAGAGGAATGTAGGTGGTGTTTGGCTGCAGTGATCAACTATATTTCTCTCTGCCGTGGCACATGTGCCGAACTGTTTGTTTAGGCTGGTCTGAATATAATGGTGCTGACAGAATCAGGAAGGAGCAGGGGCCAATTGCATAAACATAATATGTTAAGACTGTGTCTTCAGAACTAGATTGACTAAATAGCAGTTAATCAAGTGGTAACCGGTCTTACTTTTCTGATTCAAATTAGACCAATCTATGTTTTTATGTAACTGATTTAAAAAAAATCATAAACAGTTATTAGCAGTCTTTCAGAATAAAATTAGATGACTAACTTTTAAGACTAGTCTAAGCAGTTTATGCAACCGGCCACAGATCGACTGTTAACTGATCAATGCAGGTGAGAAAACCTGACTTTGATTTTGAATAAAGAGGGTGCTCACTGAGAGAGAGAGGTCGTGGGTGGTGAGGGTGGGCAGCGACGCCCAGCGCTCGTTCTCCAGCTCTTCCATCACCTGGTTCATGGCGCTCTTCAACCATGTGTCCACAGAAACACCCACCTGCCGCAGGAGGTCCAGACGCACTTCTGCTTTCAGCTTTATCGTCTGAAAAACACAAAGGAACATAGTCCTGTTCATACAATTAAGTTTAAGAAATTAATTTGTTTAAGTAATATAATTACTGAAATGAAAATAAATTAAAGTTAAATAGAAATATATATATATATATAAAAAAAGACAAAAGTACATAATAAAATGAAGAAAACAAACTAATATTAAAATTAAAGCAAAAAAAATAAAAAATAAAATAAACAAAAGCTTTGAAAAAAAGATCTGTTCTGTTCATACAACAGCTTACATGTACTCTAGTAAAGCAACTGAAATTAAAATGATAAAAGTTTTTGGTAACTGAAAATGGTTTAAACATGTAAACCATGAAGAATGAAAATTAAAATATTGCGTAGGCAACTAAATGAAACAAATAAGTTTAAGTTGAAGTCTGATGACTAAAATTAAAACTAAATAAAAATAAACAAATTAAATAGAAATATAAAAAAAACCTAATAAAAACGACAAAAGCACATAAAATTATAAAAAAAGTAAAAAAAATTACAATGAAAACTAAAAATAAAAAAGCTAATTTAAAAAAAAGATAGATTGTTCTGTTTATACAACAAGCTTACATATACGATAGTTTTCAAGCAACAAATACAATGTCAAAAAAAAAAAAATTGAAATTATGCCTTGGCAATAAACTGAATTAAATAAGTTGAAATACTTAAAATGCCTAAAACTAAAAAATAAATAAAATAAAAATAAAACTAAGCAGAAACATAAAAACACTAATAAAAAAAATCTTAAAGCTAAAATTAAAATCTGGAATTCAAAATACCAATATAACAGTCCAGGTTTACCAAACTCACTTTTAAAATGCAATTTTGCAGTCACTTTTTGCAATGCTATTAAGTTTATATAAAGCCATATATTCTACTGCTGTATGAAAGTAGCTTCTGAAAGCAAAAAGGCTGCATTTTAAAAGACAAGCTAACGTCAGACAGAGGAAAACAAACAAGATGAAGCTGCTGGGAGTGCGAGTGTCCCGTCCCATCCCTGATGCTCAATAATGTCTGGGGTAGTTGTGCTCATTAGACAGGTGAAGCGTCTGATCTCTGAGGATCCTACAGCTGGCCACCAGCTTCAGCATTTCTCATGATCAGGCAACGGTGCAAATGAACTTTCTGAAGACTCATCAGTTTCAATTTAGACAACAAACAGCTTTCAAAAGCGGTTTCAGTGTGGAAACCTTACACACGACTCTCTCAGTCGTTCATTTCTGTGTACTGTAATTCTGAGGGGACGAGAAATTTCAAAGGAAATAATTAAAGCGCAAGTATACTTTTAATATTTGTTGATGAGTAAACACAGATTCCTCTGGCACATTGCCTGGTTCCGAAAACAGCTTAACATTTCCAAACTTTGTGTTTCATTCCTTATTCTGTTTGTTGTGTTTTTGCTGGCTGTCCATTAGCTCTTAATGGGGTTATTAAATATTTAACGGTCTGTAAGAACTAATGGAGAACTATAATTTGGCTTCAAGCATTCAAGGGGCAAAGCAAAGATGGTGTTTTAGTCTATTAAATTCTCTGTTAAATACTCATACTTATTGTCATGAATTGGTCTCATCTAAAAATGTCAACTCCGTCATAATTTGCTCACTCTCATATTGTTCCAAACCCATATGACTTTCTAATGAGGAATTTGCACTTATGCATATTCAGATTTGGTGGGATTTTATCAGTTACAAGACACGCAAGAACCAATTTGTGTCATGACAGACCAGATAAAATGGGCAGTTTGAAAGCATGCGTGCTTAAGAATGAGAGCAATGCTGGAGAGCATCATTTTCAGGGAATAGAACATTAAATTTCAAGCTATTGTATGATTTATGAAGACTTATAGCACACTTTTATGGTTCAATTTATTTTCTGTTTTTGAGTTTGACATCTCTTGTTCATTGTATGAATATTAACTTAAACTATTAAAAATAGTTTTCATTAATTGAAAAAGAGCAGAAATAAAATATAAGTATTTGATGAAAAACTTAAAAAAAAAAACTAAATAACTAAATAATAGAAATAAATGTATTTAATGCTATAATAAATGTTTGCGTTGAAGTAGTAAATGACTAAAACTGAAATAAAAAGAAATACTAAAAAGAAAAAAACAAACTAATAAAAAAAAAAAAATTTAAATGACAACTGAAAATAAAATAAACTAATTTAAAATAAAGACAGGTAGATAGAAATGTTTAATTCCTAAAATTACCAAAACTAAAACTGAAATAAAGCTAAATAGAAATATAAAAACAAAAACTAATAAAAATCCTAACCCTAACAGTAACAAAATTAATAATTAAATTAAAATGAAAACTGAAAATAAAAAATCTAATTAAAAGATAGCTAGATTGTCCTGTTCATAAAACAACTTACATTTACTGTAATATTCAACAGTTACCTATGAATAACTAGTTGTCCAGTGTAGTTCAGTTCAGTCCAGTATTGTTATTGATAACTACAACTATTAAAATTGCTTTCATCATTGAAAATAAAACTGAAATAAAATAAAATATTGATATTAAATGAAAAACTTAAAAAATGTAAAAAAAAAATAAAAAATTATATGATCTCCCAAAACTTAGAATACTGCCCATTTTTATGGTTCATTTATTTCTTAGTCATTGTGTCCTGCCAGTGCATGGAAGAGCCATTCAGAATATCCACAGAATTTATTCTTCAAGGAATAATGAAGTCATATGGTCTTGGAGCCACATGAGGGTGATTCAAAGATGACACAATTGTCATTTTTGGATGGACTATTCCATTAATATATCCTATATAACAAGAGGTCAGAGGCAGGGCCAGCAGAGGGCGCCTCGACTGCTGGATTCACGGGTAAAGACGCGCAGGACATCTTAGAGAAGACACATCGATCAGACAAAGAGACTGACAGCCTGTCTCTGAACAGATCGATAGCAAGAGAGAGAGAGAGAGAGAGAGAGAGAGAGAGAGAAAATGCATTCATTACAGAAAAACAGAGACATTATTACGAAGTACTTCTGCCTTATTTTGTCTCTCAGAAAAGCAAATGAAATGCTACTCTAATAAACGCACTATACAAAACGATTCTGTTCAAATGTACACGTTTGCAGTACAAGTAAATAGAGATGGACACCATCAAGCTCTAAAAATGGTAATCTAGACTAATGATTTTTCAAAGATGTAAATAAAACAAAGATTATGAAGTATTTACAAGACAACACTACTTTAAGATTTATGTTTATTTCAATTTACTTGCCGTTTTGTTGTAATTAATTTACTAGCAATTTCTGAGTGAAATTTTTTGCACTATATTCTAAGTCTTCTCAAGTGATATGAGAGCTTTGTGCCAGAAAAAGACTAAACTAAAAGCTAAAACTCCTCTCCAGTCCACTCTTTTACTGCAGAGCAAAAAGCAGCGTGAACATCCTGCTAAAGTTCTCCTTTTGTGTTCCTCAGAATAACATGGTGAGCGTCATTACGTCACCTCTGCTTTGCGGATGCTCTCCTTGGCCTCCTCTATTCGGAATTCCAGCTCATTCCGGCTCTGTTCCGTGGGCAGAGTCCCGAGTGTCTCGCATTCCTCTAGAGCCTGCCATAAAAACAAATTACCGTTAATCAGCTCAATTCAATTAGCTCATCGAGCAACTAACCTATGAAAAAAACAGCATCAGACCACATTTCCTGCTACTAATCTAACAATCACACAGGACACACGCACGTTTAACCGAGTGATTCACATTCCTGAATTATGACCAGACTTTCCCCTGAATATCACAAAACCTTTTCAGAAACTATGAGGTCATATTTTTACCTCAGGATCAACAAGAAAGGAATAAGAATAGAAAGAAATTATAATTTACAAATGTAAAATGTCCAGCATTTGGGGCTGGTATTCAATGAATTGTCATAAAATTAAATAAAAAGATTATTAATGAATAATTTTATGATTATTAAATACACAATATTGCAATACAAATAATACTGTCTAATATTATACTGCAATATGTTTATAGATAAAATACTGTAATTTTACTGTACAGTAATTAAAACCTAGTAACAATCACAACTGAGAATAATGTGAATTACAAACAAACACATAAATAATATGTATATATAAATAACCTCAACTGTAAAATGTCCAGAATTTGGGGTTGGAACTCACTGAATTTTCATGAAAAAAATAAATAAATAAAATAAAACGGTTAAAACAGTAAAAACAGTTAATTATTTATTTTTCTTCTTTTTTATTTTTTATTTTGTGGATTTATATGACCTGGACGTTATTGTTGGTTTAAACCTCCTGTGAAACAGTAAGTTATGTCTTAGCCATTTGTAATTAAATTATTAATTTTCATCACAACAGAATTTGTAGCAAATCCTCAAATGTAAAATGTCCAGAATTTGGGGCTGGATCTCACCAAAATTGTCATGAAAATAAAATAATATAGCAATACAAATAAAACTGCAATATACTTTACAGCAATGTTTTATTGTAGATAAAAATACTGTCTATCCAGTAAATAAAATCTAACTACAATCACCACTGAGAATAACGCAAATTACAAAAGTAAATAAGTAAACTAGACAAACTCTCAAATGTAAAATGACCAGATTTAGAGTTCATTTCTTTTTTTAGTTTTGTAGATTCATGTGACACGAACATGATCAAGAGATTAAACCTCTTGTGAAACAGTAAGCTTCTGTCTCAGCCATTTGTGTCTCAACTGAATGTGTAAGATTTTTCACAAGATTCATCCACTTACAGAAGATGTTTAAGTGTGTGTGTTGCTGATGTTTGTATGACATCCAGCGCCTCTCACCCGTTTGTAATGGATGATGTTTTTGTGTTCGCGGGCCACACGTGTGGCCCATTTCCTCGCCTCTTTGTTGAGACTGTGTTCTTCGGTGGTTCCTGTCTCCGATTCCAGCTGTCGACTCTGAAACACACACACACACACACACACACACACACACACACACACAGAATTTGGTTACCACAGCAACACACACCTGCCGGAATCACAGGTCTGAGATCAGACCACTAACTCATTACATTCACAATTAAAAACACAAAAGCACAGATCCAGAACAGTGCTGAGAACATTTCACCATTTAAAGAAATTAACACTTTTATTCAACAAGGATGCAATAAAGTGATAATAAAGACATTTATAAATGTTACAAAATTTCTATTTCAAATAAACACTGTTCTTTTGAACTTGAAGTATCCTGAAAATCACAGTTTCCACAAAAATATTTAACTGTTTTCAACATTGATAATACTCAGAAATATTTCTTGAGCAGCAAATCAGCATATTAGAATGATTTCTGAAGATCATGTGACACTGAAGACTGGAGGAATGATGCTGAAAATTCAGCTTTGATCACAGGAATAAATTACAGTTTAAAATATATTCAAATTGTAATACTATTTCACATTTTCTACTGATTTTACAGTTTTTAATCAAATAAATGCAGCCTTGGTGAGGATAAGAGTCTTCTATCAAAAACATAAAAAAAATTTGACCAAACTCAAACGGAAAAGCCCTTTAATCTGACCTGTCCCAGAATCATCTTTCAATAAGAAATAGTCACCATATTCTGTCCAATTCTAAAAGAACAACACATGAAAATGACAGTATCCTGAGACATGACTGGCGTATGCTGATCTGACAGTTTTGCAGACGTCGCATCCTTGCGTGTGTGAATATTTGATTCTGACAGCACTGATCAATACAAACTCAATCAGAGTGCTTTAACACAAGCGTCTTCACTGAATATCGCACATCTATCTGATGTCAACACTAGTCAAGGCTGACAAGAGTTTCTCGAAAGGCACAAAAACCCATCGCTCTCTTTTTTACGTCTTCCTGTTTTACCTCTCAGCGTGACCTTAAGCAGATGTGGTATATGTGTTGCCCGAGTCCGCTGGGAAACACATGACAGTCTGCAGGGTCTCCATCTGGATCAGAAGCACCCACGAAGGCCTAATCAATCCCATGTGTCTCTGCTTCAAACTCTTCAGACATGCTTTCTGGGAGAGAGTGATGGAATGCATGCGACTTTGACGCTTTCTGCATAATGGAAAATATTGTGTCTGTGTGTGTATGTTTGGCACTGTTGATCAATCCCATCAACTGTCTCTTTGAGTGTTAGATGTGTCAGAGTCTTTCAACCGCAGACACCATAAGGATTCGACAAGCAAGTTACAGCGTTATAGTGTAAAAGCCACTTCTTTTGTGGAATTTTTTCTCTGAATTCCACCATATTTTAGTCAAAGTTACTAGCAAGTAAAAGATATAAACCGCAAACAAACTTCAGGGTGAAAAAGAACTGACTGAAACTACATTATCCAGCTAATCACAAATTAACAAATAATAAACAGATAAGAAATAGCTATTTAAAATTAAATGTACATTTAAATACTTTGTTACATGAGACAATAATCAACGTAGACACACCAGCACAGTGTAGGAAATCATATATCTGAGATGACAATCAATAATAGAGTTAAGTGTCGTTACACAAAAATATCTGACCACAGAAAACCATGACTGACCAATCAGAATTGAGTATTCCAGTGATGCGTAGTACATCATTCTTATTTAAAAGGTACAGTGTGTAATTTGAACGTGATGTATACCTCAAATGAAATATAAATATACATTACAATTAATATTTATTAATATTAACTAATATATACTGTATATTTAGCATAATATGAATTAATACATTAACATCAGGAATTTCTGTAAATCAGCTTTGAAACTGTAGTGTGAAAAGCTTTATACAAACAACTGACTTGAATAAATATAAATATAAATTACTATGAATATTTCTTAATATTAACTAATACATGATATTAATTAACACATTAACATCATGCATTTCTGTAAAGCTGCTTTGAAACTGTGTATTGCCAAAAAACATTAAACAAATAAAACTGACTTGACAAAATATAAATATATAATAATAATAAAAGTACTATCTATCTATCTATCTATCTATCTATCTATCTATCTATCTATTTACAGTAAATATATATATTCTGCACCACTAGTGGCACCCATTGGTCAGACAAACAGACAGTTCCATCATACAGTTAAACCACTGGTTGTGCCAATGCTGCTTTCACACCCAGTCGGGTCAATCAAATTCATAGACTGTAATTTGGATTGGTGCTGCTAGTGGTGCAATAATTACACACTTCACTTTTAAAAAGGAACAACGAAAGACTTCAATTCCATGATGAAAATTTCCCTTTAAATTTGTGCACAGGCTGATCTCAGCATGCAAACAACAACGACGGGTTGATGATGGCTGCACGAGACTGATGCATGATGGGAAATCAAGTCCAACAGACAGTGTGGTACCTGCGCCAGAGTCATTCTCATCACACTGACCGTCGATGGCTCAATGTCCACCAACTGCTGCACAGAGCTCAGAGTCTGAGCCGGAGAGGAGGAAAGATGGGCACACACACGCACGCACGCACACACATCACATCACGCACACACATCACACACACACACATCCACACATCCACACACACACACACACGCACACGCACACACACACGCGCACACGCGCACACACACACACGCACACACACACACACACACACACGCACACACACACACGCACACACGCACACACGCACACACGAGGTGGGTTTAAGAGAAGGTTAGAAACAGACTGTTAGAGGACAGAAAAACAGGGTTAGAATCAGCTGAGCAGTCAGAAAGATGTTCAGAGATGTTAACGTTAGCAGATGCAGTACCTACTAACTACTAGAGCCGTGAGAGAGAACAATTACACTACAGGATTCAACACTGAACTATAGGAAGATGGAAGGAAGAGAGAGAGAGAAAGATAAAGAGAGAAAGCAAATGCTAACTTTTCAGTTAGTTGTGGGGTGTTTGAGAGTGATTAAATGCTGATTGATTAATTGCTGTTACTCAACTAATCAATTTTTAGCAAAACTGTGGTCTGTGATCATTCCAGCAGTCAAAACCACACAAAAGACATCTGAAGCTAGATGATGATAATTTGATATAAGTTAATTAATATTACTTTATTAGTACTTTAGTATTACTTTAAAGGGATAGTTCACCCAAAAATGAAAATTTGATGTTTATCTGCTTACCCCCAGGGCATCCAAGATGTAGGTGACTTTGTTTCTTCAGTAGAACACAAACGAAGATTTTTAACTCAAACCTCTGCAGTCTATTAGTCTTATAATGGCAGTCAATGGGCTCCACGGCTTTGAGAGTAAAAAAAACATACACAGATAAAACCAAATTAAACCCTGCGGCTCGTGACGATACATTGAGGTCTTAAGACACAAAACGATCGGTCTGTGCAAGAAACTGAACAGTATTTATATAATTTTTTACCTCTGATCCACCGCAATGTCCAACTGTCCTGAGCGCGTTCACAACATCCGGCGCGTGACGTCAAATAAATACGGTTGGGCAAAAAATTCCACTTTGTCTGATGATATATCAAAATCATCAGTTTCTTGCACAGACCGATCGTTTTGTGTCTTAAGACCTCAATGTATCGTCACATGCCGCAGGGTTTAATTTGGTTTTATCTGTGTATGGTTTTTTTTTTTACTCTCAAAGCCGTGGAGCCCATTGACTGCCATTATAAGACTAATAGACTGCAACGGTTTGAGTTAAAAATCTTCGTTTGTGTTCTACTGAAGAAACAAAGTCACCTACATCTTGGATGCCCTGGGGGTAAGCAGATAAACATCAAATTTTCATTTTTGGGTGAACTATCCCTTTAATAAAGTAATATTAATGAACTTATTAATGAACTAAAAGTAATTTTAATTAACTTATATCAAATTATTAATTAACTTATATCAAGTATAGATCATAAAATACTTAATTATTTTATGATCCACACAAAATAAAGATGTAAAGAGAAACTGCTGTATCTGTATTTTAATTTTTTTTTTCATTTAGCAGACGCTTTTATTGAAAGTGACTTACAAATGAGTAATTAATAAATCTTAAGGATGCAATAACATGAGTGCTAACAATAAAACTATAAAAAAACTGTGTGAAATAGAACATTATTTTATTTGTTATATTTACATTATATTTTTTGTTAACAATAATGAAGGTGCTAAAATGAAATTCACACTAAACATAAATGCATTATTAAGGTAATTCCAATACTTTTATTTAAAGGGGTCATATGATGCGATTTCAATTTTTCCTTTCTCTTTGAAGTGTTACAAGCTCTTGGTGCATAAAGAAGATCTGTAAATTTGCAAAGACTAAAGTCTCAAATCCAAAGAGATATTCTTTACAAAAGTTAAGAGTCAGCCACACCTACCTAAAACGGCTCGTTCTAACACGCCCAAGATTTGCATAACGCCGCCCAAATGTTCACGCAAAGAAAGGTGGCGGGACTTTTAT